TGCTCATATGATTTTCTCATTATGTTATTTTTTATTTATGTTGAAAAATAAATTAAAAACCCATATTTTATCAACAAAAGCCCAGAATTCATTGATGCCGACAAACCATTCAAAAGTTAGATTGCACATAAAAAGGCCATGATAGGTAATTTTCCTCCATCAATTCATTTAGCAATTTAAAATGCAAATGAATATTTCTATAAAATAACAATTCGAATCTTGTTTAGGAGCAATATGTTGTTGTATGATACCGACCGGTCGACCGACGGACGGCATAAGCAATTTAAATTTAAATAACTTCTATCCATGGCCATTAATTTGCATTTTGAATGATTATGTGAATTGATCCAGTCATCGGCCATTTTATTTTTATTAACCTGTTTGAGCAAAAAAAGAAAAATACACCGACAGACAGACAGACACATATGCTTTTGACAACATAAATAGACAAGGATATTCAATGTGTGTAGGTTGTTTTGTTTAACCTAGGCTAAGGCCATCAATCAACGAAGGTAAATAGATTCTTTAAAAAACGCTTTGCCATAAAAATGCTTTAACAAAAAAAGTAAAAAACTTTGAAGAGCCTCTTACAAAAACGCATGTTAAAGAGCAATTTCAGCAATAAAATTAACACTTCCAGGTGAGGATTGAAAATAAAGACGCAAGTCATGGTGAGAAGTTGTTATCTTTGCCAAAGAACTCTCAGCACAACCATTAAAACCCCAACTCTCACCTAAACAATTTGTTCGACGATTTTCAAGACTTCTTCAAGGCCTAGGGCAACATTTCCCCACTGTTGTTGCAGTTACCGAAGAAAGGGTCATTGCTAAGCAAGCGTGGTGCTCCCAACACACAAAGAATTCAATTAAATTTATTTGCGGCAAAAACTTTGGTTGCGATGAAAAAAACGACCATTGAACGTGAAAATGCCAACTCCTCGCATAGACCTGGCCAACAACGCCACGCCACACAAAAGTTGTAGCAACAGCGCAATAGAAAACAAGTAGTGACGGTTATGGCGATGGCAATGAGGAAAACTGTTTGAGAACTTTTGACCCACTGGCAGCAGCAGCAGCCAACTTACGCACGCAACTACAACTCCAGCATCAGCAACGTACGCTCGGAGACTGTTAATCTTTACGAACTTTTAATTACTTTTTGAAGAACTTTAAATAAATACATACACTCACGCACACACATACATAGACATACAGACAAACAAATAACCAGTAACCCGAGAAGAAGACCAGTATCAGTAAACAACAACAGAAGCAATACCAACAGCAGCAACAATAATTACAATAAAAATATTTATAAATTGTTTAGTCAAAACTTTGGTGTTTTTCTATTGTGGAACATAACATTTTCACAGCAATAACCAGCTAGCCAACCAAACAACCAACCAACTAGATAGCAGTAGGGACCAACAGAGGGAGACGGACGGGCGGAGACACACATACACTGACATACAGACATACACATGGAGAAGCCTTGCAGATAGCAACATTTGTTGATGAAGTTCATCAGTTGTTGTGTTTGAGCGGTGGGGGTGGGGGACTTGTCGGGGCAAATGACCGAATGCATAATACACTGGCTGTGATCTTATTTAAATTGTGGTTGTTTTTCAATTAAAAAATAATTGAAAAAAGATTAAATTTGAATAAATCCAAAAAAAATTGTATTTTTTGTTAGATTTTTTTGCAAACTCTTTAAAAAAGTTTCATATTTTCAATTCAGAGGTATAGGACTTTCAACCATGACATTTTAATTAATTTTGGAGTTCTTAAAAGTTTTTCAATGGAATTTATAAGACATATTTCAACATGAAACTCCATCTCTAATGTAGAGGTATCACTCCAATTAAAAATGCTAAAATATTAAGATTTTTTATGGTGTGTGGTATTAAAATATTCCTTTTCATACCTCCAACATACTGTGGAGGGTAAATTAACTCCGTTTGTAACTCCTTGAAATACTAATTTTAGACCCCACAAAGTACATATATTCTGGATCAGCGTAAAATTTTAAGTCGATTCAGCGTTGTCCGAACGAATTGAGATAGAAGTCTAAAATTTTGCACAGGTGTGTATTTTGAATGGGTTATGTCGGTCCACGTTTTCATATAGCCCCATATCACGATACCTCCCAATACTTGGTATTTTGATGATATTAGCGACAATATTCAGCGGAATTTCTTTCAAATTTTGCATTTGAAGTTCGGAATCGGTATTGCAGCCTATGGCAGATCCTATATACAGATCCACGTCTTCACATAGCTCCTGTATAACTGTTTCCTGGTATTTTTCGACGGCATTTTTTTTATTTGAAATTCCTTTCCTTTGATGTTCCTTTCAAATGGGGGTGGGTGTTAAAAGTTCGGATCGACCAAACTTAGTTGCTTGAATTGAATTACTCGAAATAGAATAAAAGTTTGCTCTTAGAGTAAAATCGAGTGAAAAAATTAATATGTTTGCTGACTGCAACAAAACGGCTTTGATGTTGCTTTGAATTGTGTGGGAGGGTTGATGTTGAATTGTGTGGGAGGGGTGATCATGTGCAGAAACCAAAACAGAAAAACAATTCCTTCTGGGCCGATGGATTTTGAGTAGAAAAACCATATGACGACAGGCCTCTTGAAATAAAAAATACATAAAAACAACAAGGGTATGACAGAAGCTAAAAGAGAGCTCGGCAGGAAATCTACTCGATTTCGATATCATTTTGCTGCCATTCTAAAACGATCGAAGTATGCTCGCACGTAGTGTTCCCTCTTTTCTTAGAGTTCTGCCTGATGTGGCTTATAATTCCTCAATATTTTGATGATTTCTGTACAGGAGAGGTACCAAGAAAATAGTGGGCTGATGTATCATCGATTTCATATTTCTTCGAAGCGCTCACATTTTTTATGGTGGAGTCGTAAAGTGTGAAGCAAAATTCTTCAATAAATATAACAAGGTGTCACAGTTTTAATGGAGGTACAGGTGGAAGTTGACCGATATTCAATGTATTAAAAGAATTTAAAAAAAAAAAAAAAAAACATTAAGTTCGACCGGGCCAAACCTTATATCTGAATTTATATACAGGGTTGCCTATATTCGACGGACCCCGGAAACAAATTCTTCAGAAAATCGATTACTTGTATGCGGTGGAGCGCCGTCTTGTTGAAACCAGAACTGCCTCATACGCTTTCGACGAATAATTGGCATCACAAAATTGGTCATCATGTCGCGATAACGCTCCTGATTGATGGTAACAGCATGGCCATTTTCATTTTGGAAGAAAAACGGCCCAATGACCGTTTTCGCACTAACGCCGCACCAAACTGTGACTTTTTCGTCATTAAGAGGCACTTCTTGAATGTCCTGAGGATTTTCAGTGGCGTAAAAACGGCAATTTTGCTTATTTACGGTCCCATTCAATGTGAAATGGGCTTCATCGGACATGATAATTTTGTTCCAAAATTGCTCGTCATCTTCGGCCATTTCTATGACGCTCGCGTGGCGTGTATTGGTTCATGGTAAAAATCTGCTTGGACTGACGCTTCAAACGCGATATGTCATTAAGCGATGTGACATCTCTGTCAAAAGTTATGGCGTTGCCAGATGGGTCCGTCGAATATGGGCAACCCGGTATAGACAATTTTATATTTAAAGGACTAGGATAAGTTATATATGTAATATAGGACCACCGGAGCTAGAACCCATTTCGAACTACAAACGCCAATTTTTGGGACAAATCCGTGAAAAAATTTACTAAAACCATTAAAATATCGAATATCGAGAGGTACCGACACAATAGAAATTGTTGGGCTCTACGTCATATAATGTGGGCTGCATCGTGATTTCGTTACATCGACTTAGATTTTTATGCTGACTATGAATATATATTTATATCCTCCTCTTCAAGGTGGAGGGTATAAAAATAATTATTTGTTAGAAATGTTGAATATATTTCGAGGAGCTACGTATTCGATCTACGTTCCATATAAACAATACAATGTACTAAGTTTGGAATGAATAGGATATATCCTTCGAGATTTTTTATGCTCAAAAGGCAGAGGGACAAAAGTACAGACATGGCTATATCGAGGTGAAATGGTTTGAAATGGATTCCATTCAAAAAATATTTAGGGTCTGCAACCATTATATAGATAAGGCCCATTTTGGTCGTATGAAATAATATATCCGCTCTAGCAAATAGACTGAAGGTCTACATATCTTCGAAAATATCTTCCACTATTAACAGATCTTATAAAACTATAGGCTTTATTTCAGTAAAAAAAAGTTATACGTAATTTAGACTATAAATCCTTATAGTGAGGATTCGTCCTTCAAATATAAGTAACCTTAGGTTAAGACAGGCTTAGATTTTGAAATTAGCTAATTAAATGGTAAATGGCATTGTTGACAATACTAACTCAAATTTTCAAGCTTATCGGCATTGGATCGTTTGTGTAACTTTAAATCGCCTTGGGGATACTTGACTTCTATTGATATCTAGGGGTAGGTTTATAAATATATGCTCTGTTCCAGAATTGCAAGAATGTAAAACTTTGATAACCAAATTTTCCTCTACAAAATTTATTGGTTTTTTAGTGAACCCCATTCTTTTAAAAATGATATTACAAATGCAATAATAGCAGAAAAAGCACCATTTGTTTTTTATCAAACCCACTGTGCCACATGATTCTCAAAGCCAACCATTCAATCATCTAAGCAACCAACTACCCAACCTTCTATTTCCTTGATTTTTTTTTTCTATATCTACTTGTATGTCTTTGAACACATCTATCGTATGGGTAATATATGTGAGAATCCTTATTGGACTTTCCCCCCGCCCACTCTATGACAGACTGACTGGTTGAGTGAGTGAGTGAATGACTGAGCAACTCCGTTCAAACCCAGTTTGACTTTTCAATAGAAAATTGTTCGTTTAGTCTTTATTTTATGCCAAATGTTGAAATTTTATATTTAACTTTTCTTTTGCTTTTCTTTTTCCAGCTCTTCCCCTCGGTCGCTTTGGCAAACGGAAAAAGACAAGAAGCTGAAAAAGGATAGGAACATCGGCAGCAACTAAGCAACTAAAAACAGACTAACAACACTGCCTCAAAGAGCCTGTCCGCCCAATCTGAACCATATCCAAGAGTTTGGTAAAAGTTGAAACAAAAATACCGACAACTGAACAGCTAGCGTCCCATATATTGTCACTTAACCAACAATTGGGATTCATCCTCTGTAAGCACGCTACGAACAACAACACATACATGCTCTATGGACGTGGTGGGACCCAGAGAGATGAAAAAATACATATTTTTGAGTGAAAGCATGTTGATATGCTAAAGTCAAGTCACACATACAGATATTCAGACAGACTGCCACCAGCCACCACCAGCAGCAGTAGCAGTACAAGAAAAACAACAAGCACATAAGCCAGAGCAACATCAGAGAAACATGAAAATGTTACAAGCATGGTGACGGTCTCCAAGCAACCAAATCATCAGAAACATCAACCAACCAACAGCAGCAGCAGCAATACCAACAGACACCAAAGAGCCAGCAACATCACATACTTGTCATCATCGTCGTTGTCGTTGTCGTTGTCGCCGTCGTAGTTGTTGTTATTGTTGGCCCTGTCGAGCTGCACACAACGTGCCGCATACAGAATTCAGCATATATTTAGAGGAGTATTATCAAAGCAACAACCACGTGACAGGCGAGACAACATATGCTTACACCCGCACTTTCTACACGTCCAACCAGCGAACCAGCCAACCAGCCAACCAACCACTAACCAACTTCCCCTTCCCTGCCTGCCTTTTTTAATCTTCTCCAACTCAAACTCTAACTAAAGGCCTGATCCTGTCAGTCGTTGTCCTGTAACTGGGTGCTGGCTGCTGCACCGGAAAGGGGAAACAAATGCTGTCACTCTAAATTGTTGACTGGTCTGAATTTAATGTGGCAAAGGCGAAAAAACAACATTGCAAAAAGAAAAAAAAACAGAAACAACAATCCTTCAACAGCACAAACAACAAGGACAACAAAAACAACAACTCAACTGCCACACATCCATATCTGCAACGGCAGCAACAAATTTAAATTTAAAACGAAGCTGGAGCAACGCAGCACAAACAAAAACACACATCCCTGCCTTTTGCCTGGTCACTGACTGACTGAGTGACTGACTGCCGCCTGCCTGCCAGCCTGGTGTTGATATTGAGGCAAACAAAAACAACTGCCAGCTCAAAGGAGACTTGTCAATTTAAATGCTTTTAATGATTTTTTAAATTTTACCAACGAATTCATCAGCAACGAATCACCAGCGCCATAGCAGCCGACTTTCATTCGAAAGACAAACACAAAAAGTACAATTTTATCTGGTCATCAAGGACCTCATCATCCTTCAAAATACTACCACTGCCGCTAGCTTATCCCTGTCATCCAAACCATCCGTCCTTCGTACCATCTATTAATTGTGGAGCAATTTGCCTAGGAGAGCTTTCCCTCTAAGCAACAACATAACAAATGGCCAAAATTTGGTTGCTGTATTGGGGCCTAATGGTTGCCTGGTATCCCCTGTTGTCAAGTGGTTATCTTAACGTGTTTATAAGCCACAAAGAAGTGATGAAACTTATGCGTAAGTACAGATTACTCAGCTAGCTATTTTTTCGTTTTGTTCTCTCTTCTGAATTTTCTATTCCATCAACATCAATATCGGTTTCCCTTCAATGTCCTGAGGGTATGTCGTTGTTGTTGTTATTGTTGAAGGTGTGGAATGGGCGAGGGGCAGTTTTTCCTCTTTAAAGCTTTTAACCAATTTATTAAGGGTTTTCTTATATCATTTGGTCCTCGGTCATTAGTAGTGTGTCAATATGTCTGTCGAAAGACAAAGACAATGGCTGGCCCGACTTGGTCGGTAAAAAGTCTTGACGAATGGAATAATGGCTGAGGCGGAGAAAAGGACAGAGTCTAAGTATAAATGCCAAAGTGATTGATTATAAAATGACACATTCGATGAGAATGATGCCGTAGCCATTGCCGATGATGACGATGATGAGTAGAGACAAAGGAAAATGACACAAGCGTAGTTAAGTAAAACAAAGCAGATTCTTAAATGTCCATACCAGTCAAGGGACATTCTCGGTATTGCTCTTTATGGGTTTAGGAATTTAGCATAGCCTCAGACAAGAATATTGAGTATGGGACAATGTGGTTGAAGGGGTCTTTATTTAAGGGAATTTAATGAAATTTTTATGTAATAAATAAATGTTGATTAAAAGGTTCCAAAAATGCCACATCAGGGCCTTAATCGACAAAAATTGGAATTTTGTTTAATATAAAATCTCTACTGCGAAATAATCACATTATTTTATCGAATATTCCAAAATGTTTTAAATTTTGCCAGTTCGCAAGCTAGATTCCAAATTTTTGTGAGACATCCTAGATATTCTCTAAAATTAATAATTTGGCCCACTGCGGGTACAAAGGACCATTGTGGCCCACCCTAGTACAAATGCATAAAAAATGTTTTCACGGCTTACTTACACATGTATCATTAAGCGAAAGAACATGAGCTATGAAATATATTAAAAATGTTCGCCAGAGTGGGTTTTCATGTTAAACTGATATTAAACGTAAATTTCTTAACGCAAATTATTGCGGTTTGACATCGAACATGCTTTAGTTAAATGTTGCAAACAACAATAACAACAAAATAAGATTTAATCTTTAATGTGACTAAAAATAAAATAAATAAATCCATAGTCGGCGGATGGGTGTGGTAATTTGATAGCGAGAATGAAAAATAAGTGTGTCGGTTTTGACGAAAATAAATATTGGAAGAGATAGACGATAGATAGTTTCAAATCGAAATTGGAGTTCACGGTTCAAGAAAATGTGCATAATATCGACTACTTCCTATACTTTATATGAGATATGTGCAAATGTTTGGAAAATGTGGAAATATGCGTGAGGTAAAAGATATAGGGGACCAAAGTATTTCATTTTCATACTTCATCTAATACAAGTTATGACAGAAAATTGTGAGCCTTTGTGGGTTAGGTACCGGAAGGGGTACGCGGATATACATCATGTTCACAACATATCCTGAGTTAGCAAAACTATTTGGATGTGTGAAATTTGAAAAGAACGTTTTGATTTTCAAAATCCTTAACCCTATGTGGGGGAGGTACCCTTCAATGTCCTGAGGGTATGTCGTTGTTGTTGTTATTGTTGAAGGTGTGGAATGGGCGAGGGGCAGTTTTTCCTCTTTAAAGCTTTTAACCAATTTATTAAGGGTTTTCTTATATCATTTGGTCCTCGGTCATTAGTAGTGTGTCAATATGTCTGTCGAAAGACAAAGACAATGGCTGGCCCGACTTGGTCGGTAAAAAGTCTTGACGAATGGAATAATGGCTGAGGCGGAGAAAAGGACAGAGTCTAAGTATAAATGCCAAAGTGATTGATTATAAAATGACACATTCGATGAGAATGATGCCGTAGCCATTGCCGATGATGACGATGATGAGTAGAGACAAAGGAAAATGACACAAGCGTAGTTAAGTAAAACAAAGCAGATTCTTAAATGTCCATACCAGTCAAGGGACATTCTCGGTATTGCTCTTTATGGGTTTAGGAATTTAGCATAGCCTCAGACAAGAATATTGAGTATGGGACAATGTGGTTGAAGGGGTCTTTATTTAAGGGAATTTAATGAAATTTTTATGTAATAAATAAATGTTGATTAAAAGGTTCCAAAAATGCCACATCAGGGCCTTAATCGACAAAAATTGGAATTTTGTTTAATATAAAATCTCTACTGCGAAATAATCACATTATTTTATCGAATATTCCAAAATGTTTTAAATTTTGCCAGTTCGCAAGCTAGATTCCAAATTTTTGTGAGACATCCTAGATATTCTCTAAAATTAATAATTTGGCCCACTGCGGGTACAAAGGACCATTGTGGCCCACCCTAGTACAAATGCATAAAAATGTTTTCACGGCTTACTTACACATGTATCATTAAGCGAAAGAACATGAGCTATGAAATATATTAAAAATGTTCGCCAGAGTGGGTTTTCATGTTAAACTGATATTAAACGTAAATTTCTTAACGCAAATTATTGCGGTTTGACATCGAACATGCTTTAGTTAAATGTTGCAAACAACAATAACAACAAAATAAGATTTAATCTTTAATGTGACTAAAAATAAAATAAATAAATCCATAGTCGGCGGATGGGTGTGGTAATTTGATAGCGAGAATGAAAAATAAGTGTGTCGGTTTTGACGAAAATAAATATTGGAAGAGATAGACGATAGATAGTTTCAAATCGAAATTGGAGTTCACGGTTCAAGAAAATGTGCATAATATCGACTACTTCCTATACTTTATATGAGATATGTGCAAATGTTTGGAAAATGTGGAAATATGCGTGAGGTAAAAGATATAGGGGACCAAAGTATTTCATTTTCATACTTCATCTAATACAAGTTATGACAGAAAATTGTGAGCCTTTGTGGGTTAGGTACCGGAAGGGGTACGCGGATATACATCATGTTCACAACATATCCTGAGTTAGCAAAACTATTTGGATGTGTGAAATTTGAAAAGAACGTTTTGATTTTCAAAATCCTTAACCCTATGTGGGGGAGGTACCGGAAGAAATAGTCCGATCTTTATAAGAGATCTTGTGTTGATGGAAATATTGAGATGTACCAATGAGCTTCATGGATACTCAAGATCTTGATTCTTTGTGGGAGAGGTACCAGAAGGAGTTGGCCGATATATCCCATCTTCACGCCAGACTTTGGGCTAATAAAAATATCGTGATGTGTGTAATTTGAAGAGAACCAGATGCTTATTTCGGATTTTATGATCGTTTTGGTTATTCAAAATGTTGACCCTTTGTGGGAGAGGTACCAGAAGGGATAGTCCGATCACTACCAACTTTATAACAGATCTTGTGTTGATAAAAATATTGAGATCCGCCAAGTCTAAATGGAATCGGATTTTAATTTCGAGTTGTATGAGCTTTATTGATATTCAAAAATGACCCTATATGGGGGAGGTATCAGAGGGAGTGGACCGATATATTTCATCTTCACCGCACCTTAAGTTAATACAAATATTGTGTTGTGTGTAATTTGAAGATAATCTGACTTTTTCATCATATTATATAATTATTTATGGGGGAGGTACTTAATAGAGTGTCAATTTCGCACCTGGGCTATCACTGATGCAAATATTAGGATTGGCTAAGTTGGATCAAAATAGGATTATCCTCTGTCTTTTCGTTGCAGTAAATTACTTTCTTTGAAATTGTCGACATTTTGTGGGGGAGGTATCAGAAGTAGTGCTCCGATACCCATCTGTGAACTGTGAACTCTAAGTTTGACAAAAATATCAAAAGTATCAAATGATATTTAACCTCTGTAGCCATATTGCTAAGGTTATAAAAAGAGCAAAAATATCGCCACCTGTCTTTGTGAGCTTATACAAAATTTCAAAAAATTCTAAGTCTAGATTCTAGAAAATACTTTATTAGAAAATAGAAAAGCCCCCTTAGTTTGTTCTTAGTTTTCTGTTGATGCTTTAAAAAATATCCGTTGAAGGTTTGATGGACTTTGAAACAACCTACTTTAGAAAATCCGATTTTGGTGGTCGGTTGATCCATAAAAAAGTACCCATTTACATTCCTTGAAAAGTTGGTATTTTTCACTTTTGTTGATCCTAGAAAAAATTCGCTCAAAATCCACGATGGTTCTTACAAAATCAGGTTAAAAAAATGTAAATTTTATGGTAGATTGGTCTTTGAAAAATATTCTTTATAAAATCCACATTACTTAGTGTGTTCGTCCGTCCAAAAATATCATTCAAAAATCCGCATGTAATCCAACTGTTCTTGAAAAACTATCGTTTAAAAATTCACGTCTGGTTATGTCGCAGAGGTCCTTAACAATACAACTAAACAATCAGAGAGTCCTTTACAAAAATCGTAAAAAAATCTACGATAATAGATTTAGTATTCCCTTAGGTTGATGGCTGTTAGAATCGTATAAAACATCTTTTTTAGAAAATATAAAAATCGCGTTAGTTTGTTGTCTGTTGGTGCCTTAAAAATATTCGTTGAAAGTCTAAAGGCCTTGGAAACAACATCCTATATAAAATCCGATTTTGGTGTTCGGTTTATTCTTGTAAAGGTCCCATTACAAATACTTGAAAATGGGTATTTTTCATGTTTAATGATCCTGGAAAAATACGCTCAAAATCCACATGGTCCTTTAGATAAATATTTTTTATAAGAGTCACTTTTGAAAAAGTCAATTTTATGGCCGGTTGGTCATTGAAAAAATATTCGCTCAAAATCCGCGTTGGTCCTCATAAAAATATTTTTTACAAAAATCACATTTAAAGGTTTATTTAGTTTAAAAAAATTCTTCAAAAATCGATACATGATTTGTTTGCCCTTGAACAAATATCCTTTAAATATCCTCGCTTGATTGTCCTTTGGTCCTTGGAAAATATTCTTTAAAAAATCCATTGCACGGATAGTGTCTTCCTTCTTCCAATCTTGTGGAAGACTCCATATCTATTTTAACATCCAGTGTCTTCTTCTGGAGATCTAAGGTTCT